ATAGGCTGCCCTTCTCCTCCGTTACCTCCTCCCTTCCCAGCTGTCTCGCCCCCACCATTCTTCCTCTTCTTATTGCCTTTCTTCGCTGCCGCCGCCTCCGGAGTCTGACCGTCACTATCGCGTTGCTGCTGCTCTCCCTCCGGCCGATCCGCAACCCCCACGATATCGATAACGCCCCGAAACCCCCTCCGCTTAATACCTTCATTAACGACGACGCCGCGGGGGTTCACCCCAAGAGCCTCGCGCCCGCGCTGCGGTGCCAACCCCCACACGCCCAGCAAATTGAGCACGTCGGCTGGAGCCCGGAGCGCCATAGCCATCGCGGGGGCCGCCTCGCTACTGATAACGAGACCGCGGCCGCCCGTCGCGCGCACCAGCTGGGCAACGTTGCCGGCGAAGTAGGCGCGGGCGCGGGCGTCCGCGTCGGGGCCTACGGCTCGCCCGTAGCAGATCTCGAAGCGCAGGCCCCGGTTCACCGCCGCCATGCAGGGCTTCGGGCGCATGATGAACGGCAGTCGCGTCGTCATGTCCAGCGAGATGATGGAGGCCTCTTCCACCGTCAGACACGCCGCCGAGAAGGCCTTTTCGGACTGCGGGCGCATCGCGAGGATGTCGTAGGCCATGGCGGCTTTGCGCAGCTGCTGGTTTTGCGATGGGTCCGTGAAGGAGACTGTCGCGCGGTGGAGGACCGTGGGGGTGCGTTGGGAGGCATCTTTGGCCGAGGTCGAGGGGGTTGTTGTAGAGGGTTGCGGGGGCAGCTTGGGAAGAGGGTTGGTGATGTCGAATGGTAGTGGTGCTTCGAGGAAGTTATTGAGGGCGACGACGTGGTAGCCGAGTTGGGAGCTGAGTCTTAGGATGCGCTCGAGGTCGGCGGTGCTGGTCGAAGGCGACCAGGCGATATTGAGGTCGTACAGCATGTTTGTATGGTAGTGTTGCTCATTGCAGTGATTCAGCTTACGAACATGTTTCTTTCTGAGCTGTCTCGAATCGAGTAAAGAAAAGAAATTCGAGAGCCTATCGCAGTAGTGTTGCTCCAAAATTTTGTCAAGGTGTAGAGGTGCCGTTATTATTTCTTAGTGGGGCTGTAGCTGAGCTTAGCGTGTACCAAGACGCTATCGATAATACTATAGTCACAAGTATAGCGGTGCGTCATTGGCCATTGGCTGCTGAGGCTTGCCAAGCTGTCAGCGCTGGAACAATGCTGGAACGTCTTGTTCTTGGGAGGCTTGGCCGTTTAGCACAGCCCTCTGGACGCGAATCTCAGTTGAGGCAGCATCTTCAAACAAAGTACCTACCTAGGCAATCTTCGAGGTGATTCTATGATATTCATTTTTCCGTTTTTGCGTCGCCTACTTCGAGCGTGATTGATAACGTGAGCACAAACACGTCCAGCTATTCAGCAAAGAATTACGAAAACAATACCTAACCGAGATCCTAATTATCATTCCCATCACATAATTCGCTATGTGTCTCATATTCACCTGCGGCGAACACACGTTCCGCAAGGAAGTCGAGGGCTACGAAGGTGTCGTGTGTCAATGCCACAACTGTGGAAACTATTCCGGTCATGTCATCAAGAGCAATCCATGGTTCACCTTTTGCTTTGTGGTAGGTTGCGACATTCCCCTTGCATTCCCTTCGGCGAATAGACATTAATTGGAAAATAGCCCGTCATCCCTCTGTCGATTCACGGCTACCACGATGTTTCCTGTCATATCTGCAACTTTGCGCAACCTCTCGAGAACCGACCCGACGTCCAGGCTATGAAACGTGGTGAAGGAGGAAATAACATGCCGATGCAACCACAACCACAGCAAGGCGGTCCACCGCAAGGATGGGGTCAAGGTCCGCCACAAGGCCAAGCCCCTATGAGATATGGTTAATACTATAAGCAAGTTGAGGCTGGGCGTCTGCAGTTTGAAGGGGATGACGTTAGGGATATACTACCATGAAAGAAATGCGGACTGGAAAATGATGTCTGTTATGAAATAGTGTGTTGCATGGCATGGAGTTCAGGGGATTTGGCGTGTCACCGGCATATCTTCTTCAGGGTGTTTTTAAGATAACCAGCAGAGGTGACTGATGATGAATTGACTTTCTAAGATTCTTCCTATTACTATGCATACGCGTGTGTATTGCTGGCTTGCTTCTTCCAATCTAACCTGAGCAATGGCTAGTTGACTTACTCATGGTTGGTCAATGCCACTCATGAAGTCTTTTGCTTAGGTGTAGTTTTCCCGGGCAACTATTAATATGTAGCTTTATAATCTCTGTCATGATAGTACTAGTATAGTTACCTACCTACGATGCTCCACGAAGGCACACCAGAGACTTGTTAAAGAAGTGATTTGATCTAGCTTCTCATGCTTCCATTGCGTGGTTTTGGAACCGAGTATATGGCTGATAGGTTTGAATTGCAACTTGGCGTAAACTCTTCCAGCTATCATACTACCAGAGTGAATCACTAAGATCTTGTCCATGGAAAATATAGCATTTCTTTCCAAATACCTCTTATATATATGCGAGGTTCCAATCGCACTTGCTATCCATCATACCCAGCATCCATCCAGACTCTACAGCCCAGCACTTCACTCAAGAACAGCCCATCTTCAACAGCAATATCGATATTCTCCACTACATCCAACAGCCCGTCGTCCACAGTAATATCAGTTTTCTTCACTACACCAGACAGCTTCGAGGCCTCTAGCCATCATGAAGATTACAACGACTAGCAAAGATTCCACGGGATCGTCCCGGCCTCCGGCTCAACTTCGTCCCAAGCCTTCCCACCCCCCTGGACGTAAGAGTACGGGGGGCAAGACATTCACCGGTCCCGGCTCCGGCGTTGATCGTCTACTTCGCAGCAGGACAGCCTCCTGGCCCAGTGCGACCAGCGGAAGTTCCTCTAAGGTTACGAAGCGTTAAACAGTTCGTGTTATGGGTATTTGGTCGGAGCTACGCTGGAGAGACCAGTTCTTCCGCGAGCTGATATGAATACATTTTTACCTTTATAAATACGTGTGCCAAAATGATACGTGCAAGCTTGTTTAGCGATTTAGATTGCGTGGCCGTAAAGGACCGATTTGCCTTAAGAAGCAGTGTTAAGCTATCCTTCCCAGTTGGAAGAATATCCCCGATGATCATCTGAATAACATAGGAAGCGGAAAAGGACCTGGGGAAGCTTTATCTCCCTGTGGTGTTGTCCTTACTTCAACACGGGCCGCCAACCCTTGCGCCCGACATACCCCACGACGCCCTCATCTCTTAATACCTCCGCGCCGAGCCGGCCCGTCACCACGCTTCTCTCGGCCTCAACGCCGCGAACGTAGAACGGCAATGTCAGCCGACCACTCGTATCCCCTCCCGTTTCAGCATCGGGCTCCCACACAACTTTCTCATCCCTCCGGTACTTCGCAAAACCGCACGCCTCCCTGTCGAGCGAAAGATACCAACGGCGCTGATGCACGGAACCGATCGAGTTGGTTGCGCCGGGGTACGCGTTCGTGCGACGCACCTCCTCGTCCTCGAGCTCGCGGATCTCCTTCTCCATCGCCGACACGTCCTCGTCTTTGCCGGCTTCCTGGGAGGGCGCATTGACAAATTCCGACTTGTCGACGTCGTCGTCGTCGTCGTCTGAATTTGAATCTAAACTTGTTTCTGGTTCTGCCGCTTTTCCCTTGCCTCCTCCGCGCCCTCTGGTGCTCCCTCGTGCTTGTACCGGACCTCCGCGCCTCCTCCGACGCGTAGGCGTGCGTGTGCTCTTGGCGCGGCCCGCTATGTCCTCATCTTTGGTGAGACGAAGATTCAGGACGTAGTTGCGGGGTAATCGTGTGCCGTGGAGACGGATGCGGATTTTCCGGCCCTGGAACGCCCGGTGGAGTTTTTCTTGCTCCGTAAGCGCGGGCGACGGGTCGTGGTCCGACTCCGATTGCGAGGTGGAGTCTCCCCGTTTGCTGCGCTCTCGCCTGGGAAGGACGGTGTATATTCCCGTGTCCCAAATGAGGAGGGAGCCGGTCGAGGCCGAGGCTGTCTCTATGAGGTGATTCTATATGCGGTCGTGTTAGTTAATTAACTTGTCAGTGTGGGTTTTACGGCGACATACCCATAAGCAATGAATCCTCGTCTCCGTGGCGTTTCTGTTCAGACGTTGGCTATTCGGATCGCCAGGGAGCCCATACATGATCGCCCACGACGCGCTGCTCGTCTCGTTGATTTGCAGGCGAAGATCGTAATGCGTGCCTGCGATGGGATGGTCATGCTGGTGCACGATGAAGTGCGCGCCCTTCGGATTGCCTGAATTTGCCTCGTAGAGCTTGCGATATCCTTCAATAGAGAGTCTCGGCACACCCAACGGGGCGGGCGATAACACCGCCTTCGTTAATATTCCAGTAAAGTAGTCTAGGTGGTCTTCGATCTTGGCCTTGCCCGCCTCGACCGATGATGCTTCTGGACCATCATTCTCCGGTCGGGCTTCTTGCTCGTCCGACTCATCAAAGCTGTTGCTGCTATCGCTGCGATGTATTGAGTCGGGAACTCCTAAACTCCATTCCAGATTCCTCTTCTTTATGAAAGGATTTTCAACCAGCTTCGGACTGCGTCCTCGCTTTGACGCCATGTTGCTGAGGAAGCTAGTATACCTATACCTAGGCAGGTTTAGGCTAGTCGTGAGAGAAACCAGGAGCCAGAGGAACTTTCGTAAGACTCAAGCTGGTTAACTGGACATGGATTTCATGTTCAATCCAACTCTGAAGTTCCCAAACATATATCAGCAATCGATTTCTCTTTGGTGGTGTTTTGTCGCAGCCTGGAACAAATGGCCAGTTAGCTGTTTTGTGCTCGATCAGTGAAAATTCTCTTCGGTAGAAAAATTACAGGCCACCTAGCGAACATGTTTAGAAGGGTTCTATTGTATCTACCTACCTATATGTGTAAATACCTAGTAAATACCAACAAAATGAACGAAGCTTTCGGAACACTTATATGAAAGGCCAAAATTTATGTGATGAGAGTGGGACTCGAACCCACGCGGATTGCTCCACTGCGAAGTTTTAATTCAGGTTAACCTGAACGCAGCGCCATAACCACTCGGCCATCTCACCATTGTGGGGCGGGTCATATGATGATGAATTTTGCCAAAGTACGACTATACTCCCCATACCTAGCCTCATGATCAAATAAATCATCCCTCAGCCAGTCACAAAAGTATAACACTTGAACGAGACGAGATCCATAGTAGTCATGCCTAACCTAAATTAATTGATGAGGTCTTCATTCAAATCGACGTACGTATGAGCATAATCCTCCTTTCCAGACCCATGCTTGAAATATCACTTGCGATAATATCCATATTCATATCAGTATCGAGTAATTGGCATCAATTCGTTCTCCTCCGAAGTTAGCGATCAGATTCAATCCCGTTTGGTTTGCAGCGTTCTGCTTTCGGTCGCAATCTGTACGGATGTCACTATCTCCAGATCTCTATCATCCAGACCTCTACTGCGTGGTTGGGCCTCATGAGTACCTAGAAATATATCACAAACCTCCATCTAACCAAATTACAGCTATTTCAGGTAGTCTCTCTTCGTATAAGCTTGTCACCGGTGGTTTTCAATGATTGCTTATTCTCCCATCGCTGAAAAGCGTGCCCTAGCTTGTCCTGCTGTCTCAAAAAAATCCAGTACAACCAAAAATACCTCCCATAAGGAAGTTGCGCAAGGTTGATCTACTATTCGCTGGAAGGATTAATAGGTGTATATTCTCTACTTATCTGTTAAACACAAATCATCGCAACAAGGTACGTGTAGTCGGTCGTCGATTTGGGAGCGCAAGGTCGCTGTGAGAAACAAAGTCGTCAATCTGTGCGAAGATGCGCTATAGTATGGGATCGTGTGGTGAACAGGATCAAAACATCGTATAGCCATGCTGTCGACGGGAACGGGAACGCGCTCTGTAGGCGAAGCGGTCGGGAACAAATTCGGGTCGAGCAGGCGGGTTGGATTGGTCTGGTTCTCCGGGGAGAAATTCTCGGGTTGGTCGGGCATAGCAGAGGGTATTGCCGCAGAGTAATCGATTGCAAAGCGGCTCGGCTTCGTGGAATGGATAGGCGGTAGAGATACGATGGACGGAGGGGTGATCGCGGAAAATGGGAGTTCGCGTAGAACATGTTTACAGCAATGTCGTCGACCCTAATACTATGAAACTTGAGTTAGCAGAATCTTCCGGGGGAAAAGCTGATTACTACCACTAGTGACTCGCCTTGAGATGGCAGAAGTAATCAGTATAGTCGATGATGTGTCGCTACTTGCCAGCGAGAAGGCTGTGGAAGAGAGCAGAGAAGATAAATCACAAGGGAAACTTATGTGTGGAATGATACTACCATGACAAGATTGTAAGGTTTCTGTGGCGGGATAAGAGCTTTGCGGTCCCTCTACAACAGAGAAACAGATGTATTTGGATTCGATATGATATGATCAAGAGGAATTCGGCTCGTGTTACTGGACACCTGTTAATCTTGAAGCTTAGAGGATCGGAGGAGTGTCAGTCTCATGCTCAACTGGTACGATAGTTATTCAAAGCAACCACATATTACAAGTCATCTACACACGAGGTATCACAGAGACGAAGACACCACGTGAAATCAACGAAAACTATCATTATGCTGCATAACGGGGTACTATCTGGGAGTCTGCGTCGTCGAAGAAGTGAATGCATCATCGATGAAGGGAGAAAACCTGTATCCTCCTAGGTTGTCCACGTCCCCCAGCATCGGAATATTAGACATTAAAAAGTGTAATGAGAAAAAAGTCCAGACGTCCCATCCCCGAATAAAGGCTCGTGGAAAATAGTGAGGTTTACAAACCCCCACGAACACGAGCACGAGCGCAATCACAACCAGGCCGTAATGCTAGTCGAGCAAGCCTCATAAGTGCCTGGAGAATACAGGTTAGTGTTCATACTGTCAGAGATAGGATCATAAGATCAAAGTTCCTAGGATCAAAACTGCACATACCTTCATGGAAAAGAGAAGTCTCTCCGCCAAGGCATATCGTTACTTCCGATTCCTTACCAACGCCGTCCCCATGAGTCCTCCTCCTCATCATCGTCCTCGTCATCGTCCTCGTCCTCTTCCTCACCCTCGGTGTCATAATCGGAGTTATCGGTATCCCAAGTGGTGTCCTCCTCATCCGACCCCAACCACTCATCATCTTGCGTAAGCTCCTCGCCTCTGGCCAATTTCGCCTTTCGACGCTTCTTCATCTCTTTCTTGGCCTTTCTCTTGATCTCGTTTCGTTCCCTCATCTTGATTTTCTTGTTCTGATTCCGTTCCCTCACCCTGCCTAGTCTCCTCTCCTCTCTCCTTTCCTCTCTTTCCTTCTCTCTCTCCAACTCTCTCCGATCGATGAGCGACCACTCGTGATCCGAGGGTTCCCACATGCCGTCATGGGTGAAAACCCAGAAGTAGTCCTCGTTGATGTACGGACCGAGCTCCTGCAGTGCCTCTTCGATCGCCGGGTAACAACCGGTATAATTGTGGGCCGCAAAATTGGACCCTGACATTTCCCATGTCGTATCCACGCTCGATGCGAATGCTTTGGTGATGTGCTCCGGATCCGACCAATCAAGGTCCTCAGAGTCGACTACAGCTTCCCCTTTCATTCCCAGGTCGTCTCTCTCGATGAGGCCGTCCTTGCAATCCTTGACAAGACGGGAATTCTTGTGTGCCAGCGTGAGTTTGTAGACGTAGTCCATGGGTCGGATGCCGAGCCAGCCGTTGGCTGAACCCTCTAAGAAGGTCTCCTTGCTGTAGATGGTGATATTCCTCATATAGGGAATGTGGAATGCGAAAACCTCACCCATCTCCGAAAAGTCGCTTTCGTAGATCTCGATGTTACTGTCCTCCTCATCGCGCATGTAATCCTGGTACGAGAGATCAAAGGAGTTGCGCGAGAAGAAGAACGGACTGGCGTGTTCGCGAAGGAATCGGTTAACTTGACATAAGGGCGGGACGGAGATCTCGTCGTAGGTTTCACCAGTGGGAAGAGTAAGCTTGAAGATCATCAGGAGGATTTCATTCGACAAGGCCTTGAAGTTACGGTTCCCAACAGGTTCGTATTTCCAGTCAGCATTGAACTTAGCCAAGCTGGAAGTGACGGCTTGGGTGTGGACTCCGGCTTTGGCTCCAGGAGTAGCGGCTGCCTTCGCTCGAGCCTGCGCGCGGGTGGTGACAGGCATGATGATGTGTAGTCCAGAGTCAAGTAGTGAAGTGGGTTGAGGTTGAAGAGAGAATCAAGATGCTTGATGTAACAAGGTGGTACTGGATGGGCGAATGCGCAAGCGTACCGAATCTCTTGAGGCGTATACTCGAGAAGTGGAAGAGAGAATCAAGGTGCTTGGTGTAGTAAGGTGAATCAAGGTGCTTGATGTAATAAGGTGGTACTGGTTGGTGAGTGCGCAAGTGTACCAAATCTCTTGAGGCGTACACTCGAGAAGTGGAAGAGAGAATCAAGATGCTTGATAGGATAGAGTGGTAGAGTGTGCAGGTGTACCAGATCTTTTGACGGGCAAACTTGAAAAGTAGAAGAGGGAATCAATATGCTTGATGGGAAAAGATGGTACAGGCCTCGTAAAGTGTGCAAGTGTACCAGATCTTTTGATGGGCAGACTTGAATAGTAGAAGAGGGAATCAAGATGCTTGATGGGAAAAGATAGGACTGGCCTGGTAAGTGTGCAAGTGTACCAGATTGCTTGACGTGCAGACCTGAAAAGTGGAAGAGAGAAAGAAAGTGTGGGATGGTAGAGGTGGTCGACGTTATTATATAGACTTTGGGTGAAGGGCTGATCCTGCAAGTGGGCTATTGATCCCGTGAATGGCAGTACATCAAGGGCGCCTTTCCTAGTACGGAATAGAAAACAACAGATGAATGGGACTACACCTGAGGTACGGATGGAAATCGCGAGGCTGATACTTTGGTACGTTGGTACGTCGGTTTGTCTCCACCTATAGCGACGACAGAGGGCAGGAACGTCGTCGATATCAGTACTAACCCCGCCCATTTCCCGGCGCAAACAGTACTAGCTTGATTAACGTCAAGTTGCAAGTGAATAATAGCTTGATCTTTTATTTTACTGAAATATGAAAATCCATATCGGGTCTAGCCGTCTTTTCAAGTGACTATATAGTGAATTTCCTGCCAAATATCCCCGCCAACGACGCACAGTGTTTGGCGAGGACGGATCAAAGGGTCCGGTATACCCCCCTAACGGCAGTTACGGCGTAGGGACCTGTACTGCCGCCGTGCTAAACTTTGAAGCATAGCGAGGGGTACTATTTGAATATTTAGAGACCGTGAAATCAACAATCCTTGACGCTTGACGCACAGTGTTTGGGGGACCTTAGGGCAAACAGATGAGTAACGTCCACTCATTATTAGGTTGTAATTGCACGTCCACAAAGATACCATTCACTTGCCTTCTGTACCTAGTGTTTCGAATTATCAATTTTTTTTCTAGGGGAATCTTTGAGGTTCGATATTTGGCAAACATTATTTTTCAGGGGGAAAAAAACCCCCAGTTTGATTTATCCTCCCCCAAGCCTACCTCCTAAGGTAGCATATAGGAGTTCAAGGTTCACTGCCTGCCACTGCACACATGATATCTGTACTGCCATCCTCCCAACTCAGCAACGTAGTTAGCATGTTTACTGATTCTCTAAGAATTCTGCCCCTTCTGATTTAGCTCTGGTAGCTTCATAAGATCCAGGATATATCGACCCCGAAGTCCCATACTATGGTAAGCTACCCCCTATTCTTTTTTATCTCCATCGATTTATCTCGGAAGGAAGTGACCTACCCCATTGTCCATCATTGGACCTCCTCTTGCAGCCCGGAGAAACATGTGGGCATTTATATTGGCAATTACAGCATTTTCATCTGGCCTGGTGGCGACCTTCTTTCCTGGCTACGGAAGATCGACCACTTGGGTCCTGTACTACCATCATAATTTCAATTTTGACCCGTAATCGAATTGGAGCAAGGAGAGGAGGATCTACATGGTGATGTGCCGTGTCGAGTCAAACTTCTTCTCATCATTGGCTCAATCC